CCGCTCTTCAATTGCTGGAAAATCAGATCTTGTATTATTGATTGATCTGTTTGCTACAGTGTAACCCAGGACATCATGAAAACCAGAAATTATCATTTCATATTTGTTTAAATTTTCTAATTTATGACTCTAGAGGAATTGTTACAGGAATTGTCATGATCGTGACCTACTTTTTTCCTCTATTGAAACAGAAATGTTAAGAAGAAAATAAAAAATTACCCATAATCCCACCACACAGGGCAGACTTCCGTTAATATTTTGGTTTATTCTATTTTGATTCTAGGTTTCTGTGCATATACCTGTTTAAAATTTGTAAAGGATTATATTGTGTCTGTGGTTTTGCACCCTCTTTTTTCTTCATGATGTTTTGTTATGAGCACTTACTTCCATGTGGTTAAAAAGTCTTCAGAAACCACATTCTGTTGAGTGAAAATAGATGTAATTTATTTAAATATTCCCCGAGTTGGGTATTTAGATTGTATTTCAGTCTCTTAAATGAGGCAAGAGTGGAACATGCTCATGTATAACGCTTTAAGGCTGGCTCTGATTATACGAAGGCTACTTTGTGAACCTTCTTGCTTACCTCACGTTATTTTAGGACGCTATTGTTAACGTGAAACATGGCTGTTGGGAGTAGGACCTAATCGACGTGGACTCTGCTGCCTCTCAAGGGGGCTCCCGGGTTGGGGAGGTGACCCCACTGTGGAGAGCTCCTCGGCCCTGGGGCTCCTGCTGTGGGTGACACTACCTTTGGTTAGAATTCGCAGAGCTCTTTCGCGTCCCTTAGGTCAGCCGAGCCCACACCAGTCCTTCCGCGGAGGTGACATCCCTATTTTTTATAGGTGATCATCCCCAGTTTATGGATTGAAAAACAGAGGCACAGAGAGGTTAAGGTGCTCCCGCAAGATCACTCAGCTGAACCAGAATTTCAGGGTTCCTCTGTCCCCCCATCACACCTGCCTCCTGGAGGGCTCACCATGGGGCCCTGCAGCCCTCACAGTCCTTCCCACAGCCCAGGGGCCGCAGCGCGGGCGCCAGGAGCTCCCGGTTCCCACTTCCTCGGGTGCGGGTTCCCGTCGCTGTGGCACCCGTTTTGGTGACGCTGATAGTCGTAAACTTTCGTGTTGGTTCTTTCTGTAGGATCGCTATGGTTCTTAATACTGACGTTGCGATATGTATTTCCTGGAGAAATTCCTCTTTAAATGAACCAGTGACCACATCACAGACTGCAGTGAAGACCAGCCAGTTTTGTGGATTGTTTTGCTACTTTTTCACAGGGTATACACACATTACTGATTTTTAATATTTCTTTTGAGAAATTGTTATTTTTGATGTAGTAGAAGCTTCCCTGCGATTTCTGTTTTGCGTGACTTCCTGCACACACCTTCCTTCTGGCATATCCGTGCACACCCCTGCTTTATTTCCTTGGACTCTTTGGTTCCAACAGCTGGGGGTCTGGAAACAAGGGCTCCTCCACCTCTCCTTGCGGGGGGGGGGGGTCTCAGTGCTGTGAGGCTCATGGGCTAAGTAAGGGTTACCAGCATCGGCTGATACAAGGAGGGCCTGGAGAAACAAAATTCACGACATATATTTCATTAAAAAGGGAACAAAGAATAAAAACAAAAGACCAAAAATGGCTGGTGTCTAATTTGAGATTACTTCGTTTATATTTCCACATATTAAGGTGATTTCAAAATAATATTTAAAGATGTCTGTCCCTTTGAAATTGTTTATTTTGGATCGATAAATTTAAAAATAATTTTCAGTAAGTGCTTTTAACAGCCTAAGCTTCTGCACTGCCAAGCAAATTAATCTTTTGACAAGGCGTTGCTGTTTGAATTTATGAGAAATGTAAGATGAGAACTCCCTAAGTGCATTTATAAATCGATATAGTGTACAGAAGTAAACATGAATAAGGTAAGAAGACACACCCACAGAAAATATTCCAGTACATGGGAGAATAGTCATTGTAATTGGGTAGTTTTCTTAGCATTTTTTATCTTAATCTTGGTTTTCAAAAAATTACAGAATGTGTACAAATGAATAAAAGAAAAATAATTTGGCTGTGTTTTAGACAGCATTAGAATATATTGTTCAGCACATTAAAATATATTTGAAATTTGATGAACCAGAAATGTGGTTTCAAGTGGATATTTTGTGAATTTTTCTTAAAAGCTCAAATTTGTAGACTTCTAAATATAATAAACAATTGTGGCAGATCGTGTTGCCTACTTTTTTTTTTTAATGAAAGCTTTCCTCATGAATCATAAATCAGGGCTCGTGGTGTAACATTGGTGCGCACTTGATTAGCACATAATTCCAGATGGATCTGTTTTTAGTGTGTGTGTGAGGCCTGAGGTGCAGCTGTCCTGAACCGAGGTGTTGTCCGTAGCGCCGGAGCAGGGCGGGAGCCCTTGTTGGAAGTGAGGTCACCTCCGCTGACCTCTGGGGCACAGCTCCCTCGCCACTCCCTCGCAGAGTGGCATCTTTCAAGCCCAAAACGCTGCTCTAACAAGGTGCCACAGCCCAGGCAGCCTAAACGGTGGAATGTACCTTCTCACAGTCCTGGAGGCCAGAAGTGCAGGGTCAGGGTGGTTTGGGAAGGCACTCTT